AAGACATAACGTCACGAATTATTATTATTATTATTATTATTATTATTATTATTATTATTATTATTATTATTATCATTGCTATTATTATTAACTAGTGTTAGGAACTCGAAAGTTTATTGTCACGAATACCAAATTCCGCCAGTCTTCCCGTCCAACGACACGAATTTTTATAAATAATTATTGAGAAGAAAAATAAATTAAAAGTCACCTGTCCTGACGAGTTCGCCAGGATGCTCGCTAACAAAATCACCAAGCGTTCTCTCGGCAAGAATATCGCTGGTCATTTTGGTATAGGCGTCCGTCAATGGCGAGACGCCGGACTCCGGTGAGGCAGCCGCCCCAGGAGCCGAAGCTCCTGTCAACTGCATCCTGGAAGAAGATCCTCCTCCTCCGCTACTCTCGCTTCCACCGCTAGATGTTCCACTGCCAGACTCGTTGCTCGATGTCCTCACCGAAGCACCGCCGCCGCTTCCGGTTACCGTGTTTCCGCCGCCGCCACCGTTGTTGCAACGGTCGAATATATCCATAGGCAGTCAGAACGCCGGATGAAACATCCTTCCATTCGGTTCGTACAACACCAAACCGACACTTTTTAAAAGATCTTCAAATCTTAACACCTTTTCTTTTTTTTTCTTTTCTTTTTCTTTTCTTTCTTTTTTCTTCTTCTTTTTCTTCTTATTTATTTCACCGATAATAATTATTCTTAGCAAGTTCAATATTTTAACATTACCATCTTGTTACTTAACTTTATCGAGAAATTTTCTAATACATTATTGAGATTAAGATTAATCTTTCAACGCTTAAACTTTCTCAATTATTGTCGATCTTATCAAATAGTTATTAAAGTTTAACGGACGATATGATATCCAGCTACGAATTCACCGAGATCTGCAACCAGAGAAATCTTCATTTTTCAAATTGCTTTAGCCTAACTCTTCCGTATATTGTCGACGTTAATATGAAAGCACGAATTAAACGTAGGAATGTATATACTGATGTTTAAACGTTCTAAAACGCACGAAGGGTAAATAAATAATCAAAATAATATGTTTTTTTTCGCGAGGATAGGTCAGAATACGGATCGTATTATTCGTATATACAGAATGTTTATCAGTTTGAGAGAAAGATATAGAGAAAGATAAAAATAAAGAGGGAAAGAGAAATAGATGGTGTAGATAGAGAAAAACAGGAAAAATACTACAAAGAGAAAGAGGGAAGGGAGAGATTGGAGAATGAGGATGAAGAGGAGGAGGATGAGGAGATGGAGGAGTTGGAGGAAGGGGAGGAAGGGGAAAAACGGTTGACACGAACGAAGCGACTCGCACACTTTTCACGCGGGCGGCTGGTGACGTCACCGTTCATTCAGTAATTTTTGCGCACGTCACCGGAGCTGACACGGCGTATCCAGGTGGTACGGAGGGGCAGACTCGCGAGAGCTAGTAGTGGGGACGGAAAAAATAGGGGAAAAAGAACGGCCACCAGCGGTGAGGCAAACCCCCACACACGAATACTCTCAACCCCTACGCACTACGACCGCGTGTCAAACTACACGTGGTACGTTACCACGTTGTTCTCTGTCAATTCTTCGTCTTTCGTCTTTCCTCCTTCCTACTTCGTTGCCAAAAAGAAAAAATAACTTATTTTTAACAACTTAAAGAAGTAACATATTAGTTAGTTAAAACAGGCCTTATTAGAAATTTCGAATCGATCTCTGGTCTGTGGTCTCTGATCTAATTGAAAAGTTTTCTTAACGAGGATATTATTTTGATGAAAAAGTTATAAAAAAATAGTGTCAGTGATATGAAATTTATTCAAATCCGTAATAATTCCCATAATATTTGAATCGATCGTTTATTGGCTACCTACGATTACCAATGAACAGAAACCGCTCGGGAAATTATGTAGAATCGATAAGTGTTATTACATTACGCTCGTTAAATGAGTAATTCATACAAATATAAAGAGGAACGTTACTACCGTCATTGCGAACCTAATCGATCCCATGATTTTTTTCCTTCGAACCGAAAGAAATCGATGACGGAATTGAAATTTTGAAAGAAGTTACGAATTTACAAAGAATCGACAATATATTCCATAGAAATGTTTGTATTGATGCGTTTTAACGATTTAAAATGAAAGATTATGAACAAAATGTTGCAATCGATAGTCCCAAGGAATTCTCGAAGATCTTACGAGAGAAACTTTCGTAAGATTCTTCGACGACGTTGCGACGGTTAAGATGCCCGCTTAACTTCGCATTCAAATCTCTTACCAAGCTCGTTGCTTGTTGCCTTTTCCAAAGAAAAAAAAAACGATAGGCAGATCGAGACACAATTGTTCGATATTTCTGCGAACATTCGTTTACGATTTTGACAAGTATTAGTTGAAATTCGAGCTGTCATCAAACAACTTGTTCGAAGTTTGAGATTGTTGAAGCATCGACAAGATTTGTAAAATGAATTATTTTAAGATCCAGAATGATAATAAAGTGATTTTTATCGGCAATTTTTTTAATGACTGAAATGATCTTCTTTTTCTTTTCGATGACGAGATCAATCGATTGGACGAACGATCTTCGATGTAGTTAAAATCTCGAATACGAACGAACGTTAACACCGTTATTATTCTTATTTCGAAGAAGGAACTTTGTTCGATATGAACATCACGATTCACAAACAACACTTAAAATAACTCGGGCGAAAGATTTCCCTTTCCGAGTAAGAAATATTCTCCGTGTAGGAATAATTTTAATCACTGAAATGATCGTCCAAAATGATTGCATCCAAGATACACGGGTAATAACACAACACTAACTCGAATAATGACAACTGTCCTTTATTCACACACGAATTCTTCTGACACAAATAACGGAAAATGGAAAAATAAAAATATTAACACAACCATCATTTGTAAACAATTTCTAATCCGTTCACTGTGTTCACTTTTGAAACAATAAGATAAATCAAATAAATAATAATAATAAAAAAGAATAACAGAAAAGGTTATAAAATTCGTAATGCACAATTAAACCAAGTTAAAGACGATTACATGAGTATATTATCCGAGGGTAGTAGGATTTGGCTTGGCAGGATCATCGAGATTCCTTGAAAGGTCCTCTTGGGATGTTCCGAGGTAACTCGTGAACAATATTCCAGAAGGATGATAGGACGATATCCGTGAGGAGTCTTCGGTGCTTCTATTCTGGGCGTGCTACGGTACTCTGTGGTGTATTTCGGAACACCCGTTGGGGTCACTAACTATAATTTCAGCGGTTCGTGTGAGGCAACAGCCGTTGACGCACTGGTCCATGCCAACACACGCAGCATCCCTTTCCCCTTTCCTGGTTCCTCTCATACCCTTCTGCCACCCCACTCCTTCCAGCCATCGTTCCTTCTCTCTCTCTCTCTCTTTCTCTTCCCAATGCGCGCTCCAACTCCCTCTTTCTCTTTCGCTGCTCCTCTCATTGGCGCGCTTCGCGTCTCTCTTTCCCTCTTTCAAAACCCTCATTCTATCCCTATCCGTCTCTCTCTTTCTCTCCCACGTTGCTCTTTATCGCTTTATCTCCCACCGGACTCGAAGCTCTCTCCCTCTCGCGATGCCCACCTCTCTTTCTCTATCTTTCTCTTTCTCTTTCTCTTTCTATCTCCCTTCTTTCCCCTCGAACCCTTTTGCGGTATGGCTCGCGTGCTGGACATCCGTGGGGAGCTCGGCTTTGATCGATCGATCGAACCTCGATTTGATCGCTTTCCCCCGTGGTCCACTCTCTCCTCATCCTCTTGTTCGTTGTCCTCGGCGATTTCTTTTCAAAGAATTCGCCACCATCGTTATTAGATCGTTCGCGAAGAGACTTGCGAGTTTTGCAAAATTAAGCGCCCACGGATTTTCATAGCAAAATCATGATCTCTCAACTCTCTCTCTAGTCGGCTTAACTTCCTGACACTTTTATATTATTATTTTTCCTTTTTTCCTTTTTTCCTTATATTTTTGTTAACCCATTCTTTCTGATAATAATAAAAAAGAAAGAGAGAGAAAAAGATAAAAGAGAGAGAGAGAGAGAGAGAGAGAGAGTAGGTTTAACGATTCACAAATGACACAGTGATAAAATTGAAACGATCAAGTGAAAAAAAATAGAAAAGAAAAAGAAAAAAAAAGAGAAAAACAAAAAAGGAAAGAGAGAGAAAAAAGAATTTTCATTTCTCATAGTAACGAATCAACCCTACCTATGCGCTACCGAATAGATGATGATCGTATTTTCAGAGAAATCCGAGGTTATCCTGCGTGTTTGCCTGCCGGCAAGTCTGCGACCGGTTGGATATCGTCAGGATATATTCGCGCAGGAAATGGGTAGCTCCATTGTTTGCACATTCGTACAAACAGTGCAGCGTGAGGATGCGCCCGGCGAACTCTCTATGTTTGATTTTCGAAAGTGAAGCCGTATTCCATTGTACGCCGTATGCCGACGCGAATGATATCGCGAGTTGAGCTAGTATGTTGGGCCTCGGTAAAGAATCGAAACTATCATTGCAAAGATGTCGATCATTCCTCATGATCTGGGAACATGACAGAGTGTAATCCTTTCCTTAAAAGTTTTTCCATGCTTAAAAGACGAAAAAACAGAAAAAGAAAATGGAAGAAAATGAAAAGAAGAAAAAATAATTGAAAAACAATTAAAGATAATTCTAATTGTTCAAAATTTGGAAGAAAAAAGCAAAGAGAGGCTAGAGGAGGAATGTTAAAGAGAGGAACGAAAAAGTACGAGTATCGATGAAAGGTGGGGAGGGGGGTTAGTGGGTGGTATTCGAAGGTCCAGTCGAACGATCACCGACGAGACGGTGACAAACAGCGATACGGTGGAAACGTGGAAACTGGACGGCCGTCGTCGTATTGACAAACGACCTAACGCCAGTGTGGACCGCTGCATTCGACGAGATTCGAATTATCTCTGTTGGAGCTTGTCAATGCAAATGCCATACCTACATTCAATTACCTCTCGTCACGCTCCGATCAACGCGTTTCGCCGACGAGATACTTCCTGCGTTCCAAACAACTCGATCCGATCTTCGACTACTCCCTTCTTGCTCCTAAACGCCAACCCCTCCACCTGACATACACTTCTTCTTTTATTTCAATATTATTCTCTTTTTGTATTCTTTTTATCTCAAAATCTGATAGATACTTTTGTAACACCGCATTCATCGAGACACTTTTCAGAGGATTTATCTTAGCTATTCGGGAAAACTTTTTTTTAAATTAGGTTAATCGTTGATAAAAACGAGCAAGGGGAAACAACCCACAGGATGTCACACGGACACGATATCACTGAATGGACTCGTCGTCGATTGATAATTGATACTCGAATGCACTTCTCGTCGATCGGGAAAATGAAAACTAACCTTTCACTCTACTCTCTCCCTCTCTCTCCCTCTCCCTCTCTCTCTCTCTCTCTCTCTCTCTGTGTGTGTCTCCCTATTTTTCGCATTCTCTTTATCCACGTGGAATACGATACAATTTACAATGTGGACGATGACAAGATCGTACGTACATACCAACTTGGGGATCCGAAATAGTCTCTGGTCACTCA